ACGTGTTTCTCCCTCCCAAGTGCTACCCTACCTACCCAGTTTATTTTTATTTATCTTTTTTTCTAGTTATGGTTTAGCAGAAAGCTATCTTATTTTTAGGGACTTTATAAACATCAGTATTATATTAAACTTTATCATACATGACAACCATTACCAGCCATGCCTGTTACAAAGTGAGGTACATGTCATTCCTCTACCCTAGCAGTCATACATGTTTAATTAAAACAATAATGTAGAAAGTCCAAAAAATTATGAGACAGTCTGACTTCTTAGTGATAACATCATGGTATCAACTGTGGAAATTCTTTACAACATCTCCATTTACCAAATGGATCACTTCCTAAATTTAGTAAAGACACAAACAGGCAGGTATTTTGCAGACAAGAAAACCTTTTTATTTTAAACCACAAATAGTCAGCAGGTATCCACAACTATCCATATTTCATTAAAATCACATAAAACCTAGGCACAAAAGCACCACTGATTATTGCTCTAGAAAAACTGCATGAAAAATTCAAATATGCACAGTAAAAACACCACAGTATGCACAGGACTAAATTTTTAAAGCCAGGGCATGGAATGCTGAATCCATTTTACACGCAGCTTCCGATATTAAATTGGTTATTTATTTTACTTGAAGATGATGGAAATTTTCAAAAAACACCACCATAAGAGGATAAAATGTCCATCTTTATATATATTTTATGCCAACTAATAGAGTCCTAAAAAATTAGCATTTACAAAACACTTGGTAAAAATAGCTTTTAAAAGTTGTCCCAAGAGGTCCGTGAAATCAACCCCCGTTTTCCACAACAATTCATTCTCCCTCGGTATCTATAGATTCAGTTCTCTGTGCCTGTGAATAAAGGAGAAAGGGAGAAAGAAAGAAAATAACACAGTTACCACTAAAATAAGTAAAATCAGAGGAGAGTCCACCCACCAAGAAACACACTTCTGAGCATTCGGCCCGTTGTTTTCCTTCCAGATCTACTTCCAAGCGCACTTCAACTCTGGGTGGAAAACAGACAAGGCAGGAATGCATGGGCGCCAGCCCTTGGCGGCGGCACTGATTGCTTTCTGCTATTGAAACAACCACAGAAGCCTTACCTGCGGGGCTCCAATGCGCATAATAAAGAAAGCAGCAAGCTACTACCTGATTCTAGTCACTGCAAACAAGCAGAGTGTCTACTGTACCCTTAACTCTCACTGTTTCAATCTGCCCCTTTACTGACAGTGTGCTGGGTGGGGGACTTCTGCAGGCTGACACATTAACAGTGGAACGAGAGATGTGGATCTGCAATAACATTACAGGCAATAAAGAGAGACATGGTGAATGTGCTTATCCAGAGCTGAAGAAGGGTCGAGCAATTTCTTTTAAGGCACTGGTTCGGTCAGCGGGAGGTGGTCGTGGAAAGTACCTCTTCAGCCTTAGTGTCACCATTTGCAGATGGTGCTGTACCTTCCGTTCCAGCTTCCTGCTTTTCCTCCTTCTTCCCCTTGGCACCTCTGCTAATCTTTGCTCCGGGTTCCTTCTGGCGGAATCGAAGCACAGGGAAACAGAACACATTAGGCGCAGAGCGATGTTAGAAGCGCGCGCTGGAACCCAGCCAGACACAATGACGGTGGCCTTGGGGGAAAGTGGGGACCCAACTTGGCTGTTTCACCTGAACTACACTGTACCTCCATAAAACGGTACTAGGCTGGCGGCGAACCCACCGTTCCGTAGGAAATGGTGGCCGGCCCGGGTATCGTCGCTCCTGGGACAGTTCCACTATGAGTGGTTTTGCTGTGGAGGGGGCAGCCACAGGAAAGGGGAAACGCCGGGGGGAAACCCACCTAACCAGGGGCTGTGGCTTCTCCCGTGGCTCCCCAATGTGACCAGTCATGTGGAGCCACATGGAGCCACACAACTAGAAAGGCACTGAAAATGAAGGCCCAGGTGAAGAACTGTGGCTAATTCTATGACTGAGCCACAGTGCGGAGCGCTGCTGTGGACATCTGCATTCACTACCACACACCATTTCAGACAGTGTGGGTGCTTTCTGAGGGGGTGCAGCACAGGAGAGCCGCGGTGGCTAAGTTCATCGGCATTAACGTACCTCCCTTTTCCTCACCTGCCAAACAGGATACTCATTATCTGCTTCAGTGGAGTAGACTGAGCTGAAGGCGACTGAGGAGAGCACCCAGAACGGGGCTCACACAGTGCCAGGCTAGTGTTCACTGCTTGCTAGAGTAAATGATCATATTTTTATTGCGAGTCACGGGAATGACCACCGACTAGTAGTTCTGTGAGGCGGTGCGCCCCTCTCTGACCTCTGCAGAGGGGTCCAGGGCCAGGACTAACTCCACCAGACCACCATGTGATGGAGTGCGTGCGGGTTCTGAGCTAGCTGGCAGGCCCCTCCTCACACAGGCTGCTCAGAGCAACTTGCTGCCTGCCCTTCCTGCACCTCGCTGGCCAAATGGAAAACACATTCCTGCTAGTGCATAAAACGGCGCTTCGTGTCCTTAAGGAAAGCCCATAAGGTGGGGACGACTTGCTGGTCTGTACATTTTAGCCTGACTCATTCAACAGGATCTCTCCTCAGATGATTTTTTTTTTTTTTAGGCATGGAATTATAATTTATTCATTGTTCAGAAAGCCAAGGGAGGGAAGAGGGGAATGCCTCTTACCTTAGCAGATGTTTTTCTTGGTTTAGGCTCGGGTTTTGGCGGAACAGGCTTCTGCAGAAATAATTTAAATTAAACAAATACTGAAACCGACGCCATGAGCACCGAAAAGAAGACAATCATTGGTTCTGACTGTGGCTCTGTGCATTTCAAACGGGTCCTTTTGGTACCAGGCACCATCTTCATTGTGGGTTTGCAAGTGATGGGCCGATAAGGAGGAGAAGCTAACTCATTAGGCTCTGGTCCAGCAGAGCTCTCTGGGGGCAGGGTTAAGTTTCTCTTTCTGCTATCTCTGTATTCTCTTTTTTCACAACACCACAGCAAGAGGAGAGACTCCAACCCTTGGCTAAATGGCTTGATGAATTCACTCTCAGCAGCCTTCCCAACAGACTAGAAATTACAGGACATCACAGGCAAAGTCCACTGTCCATCGGTCATCGAGGCTGAGGCCTGTGAAGTTCTTCAAAGCTACATCCAGCTCCCTCCCCCTGACACAGATTTCAGGTTCTGTAGCCAAGCCTCTTCCTGTTTCATCCTCTCTGATGTCAGCTTAAGGTAAGATGGTAACACCAAGACACTGGGTTCCTTTGTCTCTGGAGCTTTGTAGTAAGCATATAACTACGGTGACCTGTCTGGCTATTAAAAGTTAAGATTTTTTTTCCTGTGGGTATTTTAGGTCAAATATTTCTCTAATAAAGGTTTAAAATGCGTATACCTCTCCAAGCACTAAAAGAATGTTTTAAAAATAGAAAACACTGTCCAGGGTGTCCCCTGTGAAGAAAAATGTGCGTTTCCCTCTAGTATCTGTAAAAGATCTGGAGTTCATATTGAACATGGCCTTTATGTGTAAAATTTAATTGGAGACATTTCATTTTCCAAAAGACCAGCTGTTAGAAAAAAAAAACAAAAAACCAAAAGCTAAACATGGTGACCCACTCTGGTAACCCCAGCACTCAGGACACTGAGGCAGGAGATGGTGGACAGTCTGAGGCCAGTCTTAGCTACAGAGTAAGACACAGCCTCAAAAATCCAAAAGGGAGGGCCAGTGAGACGGCTCAGTGGCTAAATGAGCTTGCTACCAAACCTGATAACCCATGTTCGAACCCCGGGGCAGACAGGCTGAGAAGAGAGAACTGACTCCTGCAAGTTATCCTCTGACCCTCAACACACAAGTGAATAAATGGAATAACAGTATTTTTTCTTAAAAGGAGAAGGAAAAAGAAATGACCTTGAAATCAAATTTTTAAAAAAAGAGTGGAACTTAAAAAGTAAGAATTTTTATTAGTGTTCTTATCCCTCTAAATCTTCAGTCTACTTCCTAAACACAGCTTTCACGGCTCCTAAGTCTTAACTTTCAAAATCTGTTATTGTAAGTTTTGACAGATTAGTATATAAGTCTTCTTGATTTTCAGCAAATTGTTTCCACTTTTATCATTTTCTGTGAGAAAGACCTTTTATCTTGGTTCAGCATTCAGTGTTTTGATAGTACTAAGAAACTAAGATTTTGCACGCGTGCGTGTGTGTGTGTGTGTGTGTGTGTGTGTGTGTGTGTGTGTGTGGCGGGGGTGTTGTCCTGTGCCTGCTGGAGCACACGGTCCATGACAGTGTGTTCCTCAACCACTCCCCACCTTATGTTTTGAGTCAGGGTCTCTCATTGAACTGGAGTTCACTGATGGGCCAGACAGGCTGGAAAGCCTGCTTCAGGGATCCTCTTCCCTCTGCTTTCCGTACTGGCATGTACAGGTACGCACTGCTGCACATGGCTCCTTATGTGGGTGCTGGGAATCCCAACACAGGTGCTCATGCTTGCACGGCAAACACCTTATCCAGTGAGCGAGCCATCTCCCCAGTCCTCAGAGGAGTTTACAGCACGGGACTCTGCTGGCTTCAGATGAGGACATGATCTCAGGGAAAGGGGCTTCTTACAGTGCTGCTTCAGGAAAAGCCTTCTTTTGACTTTCGGTTTTCTTTTGACTTTCAAGGGTTATTCCCTTAACTGGCCTGAGATTTGCAACAGCTCTTCAGTCTTTCTGGTGAATAGTAATGCTGTCTGTGAACTCATAAGTGGTGTTAACATCCACTTCCACATAAGTTCCAGCCGTGCCTGTGACATTCAGTGTGGGGATGGTCCGCTATCAATGAAGCTTTCCCCATTTTTTAGAAGGTAGCTCAGACTATAGGAATTTGGGGCAAAATCCTCTACCAGAGTCAGGCTGGTCTGTTTGTTGGTAGAATGAGGAAGAATGGACAAGCAGACTCCCAAGGAAGAGCACAAAAGTCAGAGAGAAGCATGGCCAGGCTGGCTAGGAGCTGGAGCACAGGCTCAGTATCCCTTATCCATCCTAGCTCTATACATCCTCTCCCTGGGCATGGCCTGCTGAAGGGGACTCCAAGAGACAAAGCAAAAATGCCGCTCTTTCAAAGATGTCCCAGGATAAGCATGCAGCTAAAGCCTATGAATTAATTTAGGAACATTCTGATCCAGGAATATAATGCTCAAAAGTATGGGTTGTGGGCAGAGACTCTACATTCTGGATCCATTTCAATATTAACAGGTGTAGAATTTGGAGACCAAGATTTACCTAATGTACTTGTTTGTCTCGGGATTTAGCAGTTCCAATTTGCATGGGCTTTGTATACTTGATAACGGACCTGGCCACTGGTTTTTACTGACACAGATAATCAGCTGAACTGCCTGGCAACATAGGTCAGGTTTTGCTAGAAACTGAAACCCCAAGTACTTTCCAAAAGGAAAATAAACTCAAGGAATATGCCAGCTAATCATCCTTTTGCTTCGGACAAAGGGAGTACTCATTCCTGAGAAGCTGTATTGAGGGGCCCCAAGGTACTTACCGCTGACAATCTGGCTGACCGTCTTGTGGGCTACAAAAGAACAGGAAAAAAAAATTTGGCAATTACAAACAACCAGGCTGGTTTTAAAAGTCCATTCTTGGTATATTCTACTTTGCTGAAAGAATAAAATGTATGCCACCCATCAGCCTCTATGGGTTAGCATAATGAAACATGTCAAGTCTACTGGGTGCTCCAGAGAAAGTGTTGTACAAGATACAGGCTTACCTTCCATCAAGTGGCTTCTCCCAGTCAAAAGTGCTGGGAGAAGGGGAAAGAGAGGAATCCTGGCTCCACTCTAACCCACAAACTCTTCTTTTGTGATAAACCTGACATCAGAACACTGAGGGACCGTAAGAAATGGTCTCTTTAAAATAGAATCAAAATCTTTAAGCTAGTAAGAACTTAAGTAGTTACACAAAAACCAACATAGGACTTTCCCATCTCTGCTACACTGGGAAAAAAAACAATGACTGAAAATCTTACTCAGGCAAGAAAAATTGCTGTGGGATGGTCTGTATGTCAAATTGCTCTGATTGGTCAATAAATAAAACACTGACTGGCCAGTGGCCAGGCAGGAAGTGTAGGCGGGTCTAACAGAGAGGAGAATTGGAACAGGAAAGCAGAGAGTCACTGTCAGCCGCCACCATGACAAGCAGCATGTGAAGATGCTGGTAAGCTATGAGCCACGTGGCAAGGTATAGATTTATAGAAATGGATTAATTTAAGATATATGAACAGTTAGCAAGAAGCCTGCCACAGCCATACAGTTTGTAAGCAATATAAGTCTCTGTGTTTACTTGGTTGGGTCTGAGCGGCTGTGGGACTGGTGGGTGACAGAGATTTGTCCTGACTGTGGGCCAGGCAGGAAAACTCTAGCTACAAAAAATATTTCTTTTTTAAACGCAGAACAGAGCCAACACAATCATCTACCAAATACAGATTTCACTAATCTCTTAATTCCAAAAGTTTAGAAAATTGGTTAAATAGATATTGATTGAATTTAGTTTATTTTTTCACTTAATAGCCAATGACACCCTAAAGAAAACACAAAACAACACAAGCATCCAGCACACAAAATTGACACTCTTTACTACCTAGGAGAACCGACTTCTCCCGGGTAAAGGGATTTAACTTTCTAAAACTAAAATTGGCTTGCACTGCAGCTTTTACTCCATCCTTCCTGTTCATTTTACTTTCTTTTTCTATTTCCAGTAGAACAGTGGCTACCACCTCACACATCCAGAATATTTGCTGAATAAATGAATTCAAGCTTTCCCCTGACTCACACTTGTTTATGAGACTCTGACTCATTGTGATGGTCTAAATGCTTCCAAATAATTTTTCTTAAGTGGGTCAGCAGAAATGGTCAGTGGGAACTCGTGTCATGATGGAGAAGAATTGTAGAAATTCGTGAATTCTCGCTGAAGTCAGTCTAGGTCAGTGGGTCAGGTCATCCTGGAAGAAATCGTTCTTGACATCACCACATCTAAAAACTTTCTTGCCGGAAATCACAAGCAGAGCTAAACTCATCTGTCTTTCAACCACAGCAGGAAATGAGGGGCCAGGGCCTCCATGAATAGTTTTAACCCTGGGGTCTCACCAAGGAACGATCAGAGCGGGACTTAAGTCCAGCTAACAGGATATACACAGAATGGGAAACCGGTTAAGTTGCTGACTGGGACACAGTTACTACCCAGCATAGGTCGTAACTGTCAGCACACAGCCTGAGGCACAACCTAGTCAGTAAAGAAGGATACAAGAGGGGTTCTCCACTGGAAACACCAAGAGGCCTGCCAGGATTCTCTTGGGTGCACTTGTGACATCACACCCACAAGTCCCTAGGAGTCAGGATCCAAATCCTGCCACGCCTTCCTCAGGATGGTCAACTACACTGAGTATTGCTGAAGAAAAGACAGCATTCCCACTTAAGCTGTACAAAACATGTATATGCTTCCACACGGTTTCTGAATGTGGAAGAACAGAAGGGCATCCCCAGGTTACTGTACAGCTCAGCTTGGAAGCTTCTCTGTGGTCTCAACACATATTACCACCATTAAACAAGTCCAGCAGGCAAAACAACCTTCTCCATTGGGAAGAGTGGCAGCCTTCTTACTCAAGGGAAGCAAATGAGCCTTATCCAAATCCCTTCCTGCTTGGCTGTCAACCTACAAGCATCCTGTTGGCTTTTCTTCACCAGCTACTTCATTCATCTCCTGTCTGTGTCTCCTACCCCCAAAGCACCATCTTTTTCTATTTCAGTATTGTCGATGCCTAACAGGGACCCCAGGAAGTATTAAGGCAATGGAAGAAGCAAGCACCAGAAAGCCATATACAATTCACTTATGGAAAGGAGCCAAACGTATTAGCCATTATACATAACTGTCCATTCCCCAACCAGTTACCACTGGCAAACTCTTACTAAGGAAAGGTAACAGTCATGTGAAGGATTTCCCAAATGCAAAACCCTGCCTCTCCAATCCAACATTTGAACACCCAGAATAGGCTTTCTGGAGGGATGGTCTCATCAGAGCTTCCTCTACAAGGCGGGCCTCCTGCTGACTGATCCACAGACTTAATTTAGGTTCAGACTAAGCGTTCCAAAAGAAAGGCTTGGGAAATTGATACTACATCAGTCTCTATAGGCTATCTAACCCAGCCAGACTCTAAAAAGTAGATGTTTTACCATAAAATAATTTTATGACTTCCTACCTAAAATTTACCAGCTCTCTGTGTCATAAAAAAAAAAAAAAAAACGTTTTATAACTTCCTTTCCAGTAATCACCATAAGGGATTTTTTTTTTTTTTCACTGCAGTGAAGGCTGAGATGAACCTTTCACTCAGTCAGCAGTACCGCTTACGCATGCAAGTGTGGATGCCTTCCTGGAAAGTTCCATCAGCTTCCACAGCCTTAACATCTATAAATGATTGGACTAAATTTATTGGATACGAAACAGACTAGACTGCTATTTATTCCTCTTTAAAACATTTAAAGCATTTGAAATATTCATTTAAGGCTCAGCTTTACTTGGTAGAACTGGGTAGGGGAGCTGTTAAGGAATTTCTCTTAATTTGTTGATTAAGTGAGAAATCATAGGAAAAGTAAGTCGCTCTCAGACAGGGAAGGAAGAGTTTTAGGACACCAAATCACTGTGGTTTATAGATGCTGGAGACATCAGACTTATCCAGTAAGCCTAACTGATTGACTGATCACCTCCATCTGAAAGACATGGGGTCTATTTCAACATCCTGCCTGCAAATGCAGCACACACATCTACAGGGGGGGGGGGAGAGAGAGAGAGAGAGAGAGAGAGAGAGAGAGAGAGAGAGAGAGAGAGAGAGAGATCCAAGTAGAATCATCATCACTGGACTTTGCTGGTTATTACTTATTTTTATAAGATGTCCCTTTGCTTCTGAGCTTCAGCATGTTCTTTTAAAGCAAGACTTAAAAGTCAAATTGCTTTTGATTCTCAAAAACAAACGAGAAGTTCAATATAAGCGGCCTTCTTTTCAAAACTGGGAGACAGAGAAAGACCGAAGGACAGCCTTGGCTGGGCGATGGAGAAGGTGAAGAACAGGAACTGGGTCACTCAACTGAAGCACCGTATAAAAAGTGGGTGGTGAATAAGGATGGGGATCAGGGCCTCAGGTGTTTTTCCTGATTCTGTGACATTGGAGAAACATATTATTTCTCTAAGAACTCTTCTCCTTGAGAAAAAATAGGGATCACTGCATCCGCCTGTCTGCTATCAGAACAGCACTGCTCTGATAGTTGCTATTTCTTCTCCTGGAGCTCTCTCTCTCTCTCTCTCTCTCTCTCTCTCTCTCTATATATATATATATATATATATATATATATATATATATATGTATATGTATATGTATATGTATATATATATGTATATATATGTAAATTTATAGCAAATGTCCTATTACTTTACTCTCTCTGCCTCACTAAAATGGAGGCTTTAGGAAGGAAGGCAAAGTTTTGCTTGTTTTTCATTGTGGGACCCACAGGGCCTGGCACAGTGCCGGGAGAACTTATAGTAGGTGCTCATATATTTTTGATAAGGAATGCATGTGGGGCAGGGGTGTGGTGGTAAAGCCGAGCAGGTATATACAAGGTGCTGGGTCCCATCTTCACCACTGCAAGGAGAGGGAGGGGGTGGGGTGAGGAATGCTTCTTAGGGTTATTGAACAGCTCAGATGCAAGAATGGGAAAGAAAAGGCTTTGCAAATGGCAGAGAGTAATGATCATGACACACTGTTAGGTCGTTTACTGTCCAGCCTCCTAAAGCTCGGGTCCCTGTACAATGCCCTCCAAATACCACAGCCACAGTGGGGGATCTTCAAAAGGAGAGCCCCCTTTGTACCCAGTATCTGTTCATCCTGGGTGACATACGAAATGACATCACTGGAAAATTCAGTTTGAACTGAATTTCAATTCACTTTGGGGGGGTGGGGATCCATACTTCTGGCAGTTTTTAGCATTAGTCAACACTCAAGCTAACCGATGACCTTTTACTTTCAAGAGACTGTGCTGATGTCCTGAAGACACGTGATGAGTTTTAATCTGGCTTTGGCTTGAATGACAGGTTTAAAAAAAAAAAA